GAGAACGCGGCGGCCGGCGAGGGCGCGCCCGAGGCCCGGACCAAGTCGGCCGTGCGCGTCCGGCTGGAGGACCGCTTCAACAGCATGCCGGCCGAGGCGCCGCGCGGGCCCGAGACCCCCGAGGCCGGCGTCGCGCTCAACAAGTGTGTGCGCCCGCGGGCCGGGAGGGCGGGGCGCAGGGACCCCTGACCCCGCCGATGACCTGCCCCAGCGGGGAGGGGGTCCGCTGACCCCGCCGATGACCTGCCTCAGCGGGGAGGGGGTCCCCTGGGCCGGCCCGGTGACCTGTCCCAGCGGGGAAGGGGTCCAGTGACCCTGCCCGATGACCTGCCCCCAGCAGGGAGGGGTCCAGTGACCCTGCCCGATGACCTGCCCCAGCGGGGAGGGGTCCAGTGACCCTGCCCGATGACCTGCCCCAGCGGGGAGGGGTCCAGTGACCCTGCCCGATGACCTGCCGCAGCGGGGAGAGGTCCAGTGACCCTGCCCGATGACCTGCCCCAGCGGGGAGGGGGTCCCCTGAGCCGGCCCGGTGACCTGCCCCAGCGGGGAAGGGGTCCAGTGACCCTGCCCGATGACCTGCCCCAGCAGGGAGGGGGTCCAGTGACCCTGCCCGATGACCTGCCCCAGCGGGGAGGGGGGTCCCCTGACCCCGCCCGATGACCTGCCCCAGCGGGGAGGGGTCCATTGACCCTGCCCGATGACCTACCCCAGCGGGGAGGGGTCCAGTGACCCTGCCCGATGACCTGCCCCAGCGGGGAGGGGTCCAGTGACCCTGCCCGATGACCTGCCCCAGCGGGGAGGGGGTCCAGTGACCCTGCCCGATGACCTGCCCCAGCGGGGAGGGGTCCAGTGACCCTGCCCGATGACCTGCCCCAGCGGGGAGGGGTCCAGTAACCCTGTCCGATGACCTGCCCCAGCAGGGAGGGGGTCCCCTGAGCCGGCCCGGTGACTTGTCCTAGCAGGGAAAGGGTCCGGTGACCCAGGCCAGTGGCCTGACCCAGGCCAGTGGCCTGCCCCAGCAGGACGACGGCCCAGGGACCTACCAATGGCCTGCTCCCCATCCCCCAGTGTCGCAGCCAACTTCACCCACTCGTGTAGGTGAAGCCAGAGAAGCCGTGGGGCTGACCACTGACCCATCTCTCGAGTTCAGAGAATGGCAAAACCAGAAGGCGGATGTGTGATGCACAGAGGACCCTGTCACACACACCGGGGTTCCTCCGTGAGGAAGGAACATGCACCTCTTTCCAGCAGCACACTAGTGACCCGGTTCCCCAGAGATGTGAATGATGAGGGGTGTCCGTCCCATCCAGCCCTTCCTCACAGCAACTCTGCTTTCTTTTGTTTCTGCAGTTTGGTAACTCTTATCCGACACCCACCAGAATTAATGAATGTCCCTCTTCATCAGCAACAAAACAAATGCACAACATTCGTCAAGAACAAGACCGCAGCTGCAACCACAGCTGTGCAGTTCACATACCCGCTGTTCACCAGCAGTGCTTGCGGGGCCTCGGGAACTGCTAGCCTGTCCCAGACGCAGGTAGGGAGGAGGCAGGCCCCTGGGCTCTTGTTCCTTACATGAAAGTCTTAACTGCCACTGTAGTTAGGCCTTTCATTGAATTGAATAACTAATTGAGACTGTTTATTTTTATACTGGTCAGGAATTATTTCAAAATCCTCATTACACCCAAAATTCTTCACTCTGCTTATTAATAGTGTTGATATTGCTTCTGTTAAAGGGACATTTCTTTTACACATGGAACAAGAGACGAAGCCACACATTGATCCCATTACTGTTGCTGCCTCTTTTCCAGAGTTCTGGTAACTCCTGCTCTATACTTGAAGCCACAGTCAAGCATCAGGATACCGGATTGCCTAGAGCATTTTCTTTCTGTTATCAGCAGGAAATTGAATCCACTAAACAGACTTTAGGCAGCAGAAACAAAGCATTACCTGAGCAGGTTTGGATTAAAGTTGGAGGTAAGATATAAAGCAAAAGATGGCAGGCATTTGGGGCCTCTGAGCACTTGGCGTCAGATGGCCTTGAGGGAACTGGGCCAGGAAGCTTAAAAACACAGGAGCCCTCCTCAGAGTGTTTAGAGACCCTTCACTCCTCTTCCCTCAGCCATCTCCCTTTGGATTCCCTTAACGAACTATGTCGTCTGTATCGTGATGACACTTCGGTAGGAAACCTTGAATTGGGGAACTGATTTTTCATAATCAGTGAACAGTAAAGTAAATCAGTTGCTAGGTGTCCTTGGTGAGTGAAATATGAACAATAGGGCTGAACCCTGCCCTGTCCTGTGTTGTCCTCTCCATGTCTGGCATGCTCAAGTCCACTGCAGCAGTCACTGTCAGTTCATCGGTTGAGGGCTTCCTCTCTCTCACTGTCCCTCCACCTGTCCAAGTAACTCAGTGCCTGGAACAGTGCTGTCGTGACGTGCTGTGGAGGTGCCTCAGCATCCCTGGGCGGCACAGCACCTGCCCTGCCCTGCCCCACCCTCCGAGTCGCTGCCACACTTGAACCCCGTGGAGCCATATACCTGGCCATCACGTCGCTTTTTCAGGCCTTTTCAAGTCACATGCAAAATACTGAATAGTTTTTCTTGCCCTAATTTTTTACACTGTGACTAAGACAGGAATCTGAACTTGCTAACAGCTTTAGGAGGTGAATAAATGTAAGAGGCTGATTAGCAAGTAGGCACGGGAGTGAATGGGGAGCAAGAGGCCATAGGTGATTCAGAACGTTTCAGAAATAAACCGATGAAGGTAACTTTGCTAGCCTTGAAGTGAACTCTCAATCCTTTTCTCTTTGGAAAAGGAGTATTATTATTATTTTTTTTTAATTTTTGTTGTTTTGTGCCGTCAAGTCACTTGTGACTCATAGCAACCCTATGTACAACAGCTCTGAACCCTGTTCTATCCTGAGCCAACCTTATTCTCTGTGACACGCCTACCCCTGTTACCCTAGTTACTGAATCAATCCATCTCATCTAGGGTCTTCCTCTGTTGTGTTGGCCCCCCACCCGTCCAAGCATCATGTTTCTCTCTAAGGACTGGCCCCTCCTTGCAACATACCCAAAGTATGTCAAACGGAGCTTTAAAATCCTTGCCTCCAAGGAGCAGCTAAATAATACAGTTTACACTATGCTCTTCAGGAGCTAGTGAAGGTGGGAGAGAAAAAAGAGAGATGCCTTTCTCCCCACTGAATTTCTTCCTCCCACCTCCTCATTGTTCTTAAAACACACTTTTTGCAAACATGTTAGCACTAGTAAAGTATAAAGATAAAGAATCAAATTGCCCCTGTACTGACTACTCAGCTTAAGGAATAAAATATTACCAGTCCTTCTGAATTGCCTCTACTTTCCACGTGAAAAATCTCATGATGTTTCTCTTAAATGATTCGTTCCACCATAGAGAATTTCCTGTGTGACTTATCTGGAACATCTCTCCAAGTCCACTTCACGGCCTGCTTCTCTGAGTTACATGCAAACCTCATATTTCTGCAGCTTAAATAAACGTTGATGCTGTTCTTCCCTTTGTGGCAAGGACCACCTCCAGGCTGAGGCCGTTTCCTCCTGTGCCTCCTTGATTTTGCCCTCTCTTCTGAGTACTGCCATTAGAATAGCGGTCACAAGGGGGGAAACCCATTTATTAGAAAACGCTTCTAGCTTTTATTTTTCTGTTCTGAATATCAGAAACATTGAGCAACTTCTTGGTTTCATTGTAGGTATCCTAATGTCTGTTGATTAAAGTGGGAAGGACCCTGATAAAGCCGTATTGATTATATAATACACAGAAGGAATGTGTTAACTTCGTTATGTATTTTCCATTTTAGAACATAAAGTGGGGTTTTAAAACCCTTTTGAATAATCTCAGTAGTACAACTTTTACTGGTTTTGTTCTCGCTGCTACTTGCCCAATAATGTTTTTGTTTCTTGGGTTGAAAATGCAAGGGAAAAAAAACTATATATTCAGTATTAATGAGGATAAGAAGAATAAAAAATTAAAATACCACTTTTTTCTTCTTTTGCAAAGAAGAAGCGCTATGTAAACAAGCAATAAATAAGAGGAATCGAAGTAGAGTGCGTCAGTTGGACACAAATGTAGAGCGACGAACCCTTGGAGAGATTCAGAATGTGGGCGAAGCCTCCACAGCCGCACAGGGCACGTGGCGGTCAGCGGAGGCCTCACAGTCCAGCCTGGGGGAGCAGGGCCAGAGCGGGCCCCCGGGAGGAAGGTCGCAGCGTAGGGAGAGGCATAACCGAATGGAAAGAGATAGAAGGTAATGCCAGGTCGATTCGTGTACCATTATGTTAGAAGTGCAAGCCTATCACAAACAATACTGAGGCTGGTCCTGGTAAAAGGGAGGGAAATAGGAAGGGTAAGTGTGAGCCCAGTCGTGTGGATCCAGATGGGGTGCTCAGGCCCACCCCTAGGCATGACGATTCTTTCATCGAGTCCATCTAAGGAGTGTGAAAGCTGGAGATGTCAGCACGCCAGCAAACAGAACAGGCAGTGCTCCAAGTCAGGAGACCAGGCACGCGATGCACAGGCCCTGATGCAGTGGGGTCGCATGGGACAGGCTGGCTGCCTCCTGCAGTTAGCTATGCCAACAGGTGTAGTGCTGTCCACCAGGGCAGCTTGGCTTGTTAGAGTCTCAGAGCCACACACACCTGCTGCCTGACCCAGAACATGTGGAATCCACCCAATTCCAGATGCCCCGAAGGAAAGCGGGTGATCTCTCAGAGCCACGTTGTCGGCACGTTGTGGCAATTCAGGCAGAGGGAGCCACTTGAACCTGGAAAGAGATCTTTGGAAAGACTGCGGTCAGCCGGCACGTCAGATAGCGCAGTTCCATAAAGAATGTTGGGGCAGAAGGAAGTTAAACTTAGTTTGCTGTGTCTGATTTGTGCTGTTTGCCTACATAAAACCAAAAGATGGTTCATTTTTCTCGATTACAGTTGAGTTTTTACAGTGTCGTCTTAACATATATTATTACTTGGCCTTGGCCATTTATTGAGGACTCACTGCACCAGTGTCTGTCAGTCCTCAGGAGACAAAGGGTCAGCTTTCAAGCTCCAGTGTTGAGCTGAACCACATATCTTTTGAAAGGAATCGATTAAAGTGATGATAGATAAAGGAGATGGAGCAGTGTCTTGAATGTATGTGTTTGTACTTACACACGATAACTGAAGCAAGGGCCTTTTCTCACATTCACGTTTATCTAATAAACATGGATTCGGGAACTATTCTATAAAAAGCCTTTTATTACATGGTAGAGTGAGCGTTTACATTCTGACCTGCCGTGTCCTAGTGTGGTAACCTTGGGACAATTCTTTAGCTCTTTCAGCCCAAGTTCCTTACCTATAAAATAGGAAAAGTTTTGGGGAGCTCTGGTGCCCTACTGGCAAGAAGCTGCGCTGCAATCTCCAAGGCAGGTGTTTCGAGGCCACCAGCTGCTCTGCAGGACAGCGGTCTCTACCGGTGCAATTACTTGCCTCTGAAAACCTGCCAGAGGGTCAGCTGTGGGTCGGTTCTGACTCTACAGTACGCACCAGCCACCTTGAGACTAAAATGTCATGAGTTGCTGCTTAAAGAGTGGCCTTAGTCCTCCCAGTGCCTGAAGCTTAGAAGGTGGCCGGGACATGCCAGCGGCTGTTGTTTCTACTTCACAAAGTCTCCAATTAAAATTCTAAGTGTATTATACGTTTTCTCAGGATCATTTCACTTTGCATATAGTGTGCAGATTATATTGACTCTGTAACACCAAAGGTTAAGAGTAATCTGTCTAGTGACAGGACTTGAGCTACAGACGTGAGGACGTTTGTGGCAGGTAGGCTGGGATGTGTTTCAAACTGAGGCCCCTGGAGAATCTGAAAGCTAGTGGGTGCCCGGAACAGCACTTCGCTCTTCGAGGGCTAGAAGTGGTCTATTGAATTGAAGACTGATCTGTCGAGAAGAGACTGCGTTCACAGAATTTGCTTTCAACTTCCTGGGGTTTGTGGGCCATCTCTGGTCTGGATACTAAAGCCTGGTCCTTTCTCCTGGTCTGAGAAGGATATTGAGGACGTACTCCAGGGAGCATTCCCAGGGAGGAGCCTGGGCAGAGACCGCCTCTGTTGGGAGATGGGAAATTAGCCCCTCCCTGAGTGAAACTTTGGGAACTCTAGTAGCCTGGTGGGTGGGGGGTGTTGTGTTGCCAACCCAAAGACAAATGGTCCAAACCCACCAGGTATTCCATGGGAAAAGAAGGACAATGTATCTGAAAACCCATTGGCGGGTCAACTAAATGAGACATAACAAAAACGACAGCTGGATGACGCTCAGGAACCCTGGTGGTGCAGTGGTTAGGTACTTGGCTAGTACTCAAAAGTTCAGAGGTTCAAATCCGCTAGTAGCTACACAGGAGGAAAACATGGTCATTCACTGGTACAAAGATGGCAGCCTTGGACGCCTGTGGGTGTCTGTACCATCTGTGGACGGGCTGTGAGTCAGAATGGACTCAGGCCAGGTTCAGCTGGGACTTCCTGTGCAGAGGGACCACTCTGGCCCTCAGTGGCCAGGCTCCTGTTTCCTGTCCCTCCAGCACTGCTGTGAGGCCTGTCCTGGTGCCCTGTCATCCCCCAGCCTTTCTGCCACCCTCTGTATTTTGACTGCAGGCGCAGAATCCGCATCTGTTGTGATGAGTTGAACCTTTTGGTCCCATTCTGCAACGCCGAGACAGACAAGGCGACAACCCTGCAGTGGACGACGGCATTCCTGAAGTACATTCAGGAGAGACACGGGGACTCGCTCAGAAAGGTCAGTGGGCAGCGGCCGCGGGGGCTCACTCAGAAAGGTCAGTATTTCAGCAGGCCCGGCAATGTTCAGAATTTTAACAATTAAGAAGCCTCCAGCCATCCTTTACTTCCTGAAATCTGATAACAGAAAGCAAGTCGTTAGGGACAAAGATCAGGCACCATCGTGGGTGTTGTGCTTAACATGTCAAGCTGCCAACCAAAGGGTCAGCCACGGGGAGAGCAAGGCAGTGTCCCCCTGAGGAGGGGTCCCTCGGGGGTGGGACTGAGCTGATGGCAGCAGGCGTTGTGCTTTATGGAGAAAGGTCTCATGATGCAGCAGCTCAGCGTGTCTGTGGCGTCCCAGCTGCACTGTCAGTGGGTTCAGAGGGCAGGTGGAGTATCTGCTCTTGCATCTTCAATGCTAGGCCATCCAGGCTCAGAGACGCACTGTGTGGATTTTGTCTTCAGAAGGTTTCATTTGAGAAAGTGATGACAGCAGGAATGGTGATGAAAGGAGGGGCAGGGAATGTCAGAGCAGCAGCCTGGATCCCAGCACCTCATGGGGGCTGAAGAGGGATGAAGCTTCTGGACCTGGCTGACTGGGAAAGGCTCGGGGCTCTGGGGCCCTGGGTGTCCCTGGCCGATCACATTGTGCCTTTGATGGTTCACAACAAACGAGCTGGGTTGACAGTAAGTGTCATGGAACTGATGTCCTCAGCAGGGTTGTGACCCCTTGGGGTTCAAATGAGAGTGCATTCCTTGGGCCGGGCTTCTGCCTTGGAGGACCTCAGTTTCAGATGCCAGCTGTGAATTCTGGTGGTGAGTGTGAGCACTGATTTGGAAACCTGTTTTCATGATAGGGAACGCTGGTGGCCAGTCCCTGGGGAGGTGAGTTGCTCACTCAAACGAGATACCTCATTGGCAGTTTGAATCTACCGGGAGCTCAGAGAAAGATGAGCAGTCTCCTCCCGTGTGGCTTCGAGCCTCTTGAGACCCGAGGGAGGCGAGGAGGAGGAGGACTGGGAATGCTGCAGTGCATTTGGGGGGGCAGATGGCCTGGTCAGGTGGCAGTGGCAAAATGAAGGAGGGGGCTTCAGGATGTCAGTGGGGCTGCCTGTGGATGTGATGGACAGAGGAGTCAGGCCTGGGGTGCTGGACTTTAGCTGGTGGGTGCTCTGTATTGAGATGGCAAGGGTATGACTGGAAGAGGCAGCTGCTAGGACGCTGGAGGTGCAGGGGGAAGGCATGTGAGACGAGTGAGAGACCCAGGACTTGTCAGCATACAGGTGGTTCATTTGGAATTATCTCTAATAATGAAACTGTAATGCACGGAATAGGTGTAAGTAATCATCACCAGACATCATGCCAGGAAAGGGAGGGTCAGAGAAAGAGAAGACCCTCGGCAGGTCGACCGAGCAGTGCCTGGTAAACACAGCTGGTTTTCCTTCTCTGTTCGTGTGCCTGTTTAGCTGTTTCCTACAGGTGGAATCACAGTACCGTGACTCTTCCACTGGGTTGATATCTTCAAGGTTCACCTGTGGCTGAGTGTAGACAGAGGGACCATCCCCACATCACAACACGTTTGAAGACTTCATGTCCTCTCATGTCTGAGTAATAAACAGTCCAGCATGCAGAGGGACCACACTGTGTGTCTTAGTCAGCTCTGCCTGGCTGCTTGGCTGCTGGGACCCATGGGACCCTGCTCTCAGGTCTCCCAGGTCCATGCAGAGAAAGTGGGATTGCTGGGTGATGTAGTAATTCTGTCTGGAACTTCTTTGAGGAGCTGCCATGCTGTTTCTCCACTTACCTTCTTTTTTGGTATCAACTCTTTTTAAAAAATACTTAAACATTTATTCCATAATTTAAACAATAATTGTAATATTTAAACCTTTTCCTCCTTCAATACTGGGGACTTAATTTACCTATGTGCAGCATTGACACTTTGAAGCTGTCCGGCCAGATGTTGTCGAGATGCCACGTCCTTGATTTCGATGACCTACCTCATCTGTTTATGATAACTTTTATTTTTATATCATTTTAAACTTACAGCAGAATTCCAAGAATGACACAGAGACCCCAGAGATTGAGGTGCTGGATATTGTGACCAGTTGTTAACTTCTGACATCCTGTTGCCTCAGAGTCTGTTATGTGTGTGTGGTTTTTCTTCCTAAGTCGCAGATACCGAGCCCTTCATACATAGCTAACGCTGATGTATTTCTTAACAGAGCCATGTTCTTAGGTTATAGGATAGAGGCATCAGAATCAGGAAGTGTAATGCTGACACAGGGAGCTCTCGTGGCCTAGTGCTGAGCTGTGCTGCAGCTGAAGACATGCAGCTCGAATCCACCCGCTGCTCCGTGGGAGAAGGATGGGCGGTCTCCTCCCAGACAATTTACTGCCTCTGAAAGCCCACTGGAGGGTCAGCTAGGAGTCGTTCTGACTTGGCAGCACACAGCAACAAAATTTATCCTTCCATTCACGATTGACCGTAGTCCTAGTAGCAGCCCTGATGGCTGGTTGAGGAGCACCGAGCTAGTGGACACAGTAGAGACGCGTACTATCCACTCCACCTCCTAGCTCTGTCCTCCTCCCCATCTGCTTGACTTCTGCTCTGTTTGTCTCCCCCCTAGACCAGGGCATTGAGCCCACCCTTGTGCTCAGGGGCACCATGCTACTCGTCAGAGTTCAGCCTTTGAGTGTACTCACCTGGCCTGTCTTCCCGGGCTGTGGGTCTCCCTGGGCTGTGGGTCCCGTTGCTGCCCCTTCATCGGCAGTCATCACTGGGTCTTCATCTCTCCTTCCTGCCTCTCTTAGGTCCACTCCCAGCAGGCTTTTGGCTGTTGTCTCACTAGGTCAAAGCCGAGTCCACGGTGTGTCTCAGGCCAGTACCCTCCCCCCAACTTGCACCTCCCCCCATACCATCTGCACCTCCCTTACGTGTGCGCGCGTGCACGCGCGCACGCACACACACACACACACACACACACTCTTGCATGCACCCCTGTTGACATTAGCACAGTTTGCCTCACTCTTCTCAGCCACGTGGGGGTATTTTTTCTGGTGTCCTGGCCACTGACTGGTGACTGTCCCCATCACGAGGAGGTCTTCTCTCCACTTCTTGTCAGGGACTGAGAGCTGAGTGGCTGCAGATGCTGAACTTAGCAGCTGGTGGGTGGCTCCCTCTAGTCGTTCCCTGTATCTGTCCTGCATGGGGGACCAGTCCTGGGGGGTGCATGGGTTAGGGAGACGGCTCCCTGAATGGACTGGGAGTCTCAGCGGACCAGCCCCTGCCTGTGGCTATGTGCCCACCAGCCTTGGTGGCCTCTCAGATCCTAAGATCATCCCCACTTACCTTCCTCATCCCATGCAGGTTGGATCCTCTGTGCCTTTTCAGAAATGGCCCTTTGTCTGCCCCTCTTATCATAGCACTGTGGTCGTTAAAGGTGATTTCTACAAAAAATGATGCTTTAAAGTTGGGTGAGACTTCCATGGTGACCCCTGCTGTGATCAGTGGTGTCTTGAGCTCCATGCTTGTTGGGGAGGAATATGTGTTCTTGTTGGGAGAATCCTTTGTGAGGTGAAGCTCTGCTAGCCGGGTCTTATGAGGGATCAGGTGGACGTTACCGTGACAGCTGGCTGGGCCCTAGGATGCTCTGAGGTGAGGGTCTCCGTGGTCAGCCGGGAGCCTCAGGCCCCTTCATCCTCCTCCAAGCAGCCTTCCACCCTGTGTCTTGAACCCTTCTTTGCTGTGGCACTTCCTCATTGCCACTTCTAGACACATTTTCTGGTGTCTACTTGGAACCCATCCCAATTATCCCAGTCACTGAATCAATCCACCTCATAGAGGGCCTTCCTCTCCTGATAATTGGGATGGGAGTGTCAGAGACAGTGCGATTGGCACAGGACAGAGCGGAGTTTAGGGCTGTTGTACGTAGGGTCGCTATGAGTCGCAGGCGACTCGACGGCACATAACAACAACAACTTGGAACCGCCTCTCTTTAAGAAATGCAGCTCTTATTCTTGGCATCATTCTCATGTTTACAAATCTGTCTGCTGACTTTGGTCAGATGTCATGAGATTCTCCTAAGTGATAAGCATCTCTGAAATCTGGTTCACATTTTTGTAGAAAGTTTTTGTTGCTCCTACCTTTGGCCTCAGCTGTGTGAGCCACTCTTCCAAAGCCTCCCCGGCTCCCAGTGGGTGTTCACATCCTTTCACCTCTGGAGGACCCCCAGGGGCTGTCTGACCACAGCCTGAGCCCTCTACCAGCAGAGCCATTGAGAGAACAGAGGGAGGCTCCGGGCCTCCTTGTCCTGTGAGCTACATCTAATGCTCATTATCTTCTGCTTTCAGCCTTTAATTATTCTAAGGCAAACTCTACCTTGCCCGTATGGGTCAGGTCATACATGGGCTTTGTGTGTCCGTATATAGGGCATGAACAAAGTAGAGCTGAGTTTTTTTTTTTTTTATTTACCTTTTGGGGGTTTTTTTATTAATTTTAATGAACTTTTACAGAGATTTTGGGTTTCCGTTTTTGCACTATTTACACTCCCCCCAGTTCGTTCCTCTTTTTTTTCCCCCCTTGAAAGTCTGTTTTAATTGTCCCATTGCCACAGTGCTTGTCAAAGCCAGTTCTGATTAATCCCCTTTGTCAGTGTGTCCTTTGCCATTCCCTATCACTCCTCCCTGAGAGAGACTTCACCCTGATTCATAAGGAAAAGGGGACGGCGTATTCTCTTAGCTACTTCCTGCTGAAAAGGGATGCTGTGGGTTTCAGGGTGAAGATCTTCTCTCACTACTCTAAAGGGCCCCTTTGGCAGTAGGAAACACATAGACTATTATGGAGATTGATTTTGGAATTTAGATGCAGTGTTATCAGTTGTGCTTAGCCATACATGTTCATATCCTTGAAGATGTATCATGGAAGTGTTGCAGCCTAGAAGACACAAATTTAACTAACAAGTTAAAAGTACATGAGTCAAAAATTAAAAGCAATAATATTCCAAGTAGAGGTCTAACAGTGGCACAAATCAAGTTACGGAGGGAAGGTAGTTCTTAAAGACTTAATGACTAGCACTTTGTCTGTTATAGTATAAAGGTTAGGAACCACAAGATGTAGAGGCTCAACTATGTCAATTATTGTTCTTAAGTCCTGGGCCAAATTCCATCTACCACTGGGTTGTTTTACTTTTTTTTTTTCCTTTTCTTATTGTGTGCGGTCGACTCGGATGACTGGTACAGGAGGAGATTGCCCCTCCTCGAGCAGAGCATCTGGTGGACTCGAACGGCACACTTTCATGATTGCCACGCAGCTTCTTGCCATTAGGCCACCAGAGCTCCCTAAAATAGAGCTCCTCTTAAATTGCTTCAGGATCCTTTAAAAAAAAATTATTATTATAATTTTAACAAAAATTTACAGAAAAGTTGGATTTTCATTCATTAATTGCTGCAGTTTCCCCCCCTCCCTCCCCTTTGCAGTGCACTTTTTATTATGGACTATTGTCATACAAATAATGCCTAATCATGTATTCCTTTTAAACAGTTCTTTTCTTCATCTGTTCCAATGCAGTGTTCATTAGCTATCCCTTCTTTTCCTACGTTCTTCCTGGCCTCCATGTCAGTCCTGTTTTATAACAGTGGTGTTATGTAGTATTTGTCCTTTTGTAACAGAGATATTTCACTCAGCAAGCATAATGTCCTCCAGCGTCCCCCATATTGTGTAATATTTTGAGTTCCTTGTTTTTCAGTGCTGCATGGTATTCCATTGTGTGAATGTACCATAGTTTTTCCTATCATTCGTTTGTTGATGGACACTTGGATTACTTCCATCTCTGCTGTTGTAAATAACGCGGCAATAAACATAGGTGTGCACATATCTGTTCAGATGGTGGCCCTGGCTTCTTTATGGTGCCTTCCTAGTAGTGAAATTATTGGATCCAATGTTATTTCTAATTTCTAACTTTTTGAGAAAGTGCCAGACTGCCTTCCATAGTGGCTGCACATTTTACACTTCTACCAACAGTGAATAAGGGTTCTGATCTCGCCACCACCTCACCAGCATTTGTTGTTTGCTGCCCTGGTGAGCTTTTTGCTGCTGTTGCTGGGGTGAAATGATGTCTCATAGTTGTTTTGATTTCAGGATCCTTTTAAGATTTGGGAGAAGAGTAAATTTATGTGCAGACAGAGCTTCTTTGTGTAGGTGGGAGCAGCAGATGGCTGTGGTTGGAGGCCACCTTCAGTATGGAAGGGCTGTGCCATGCCTTCTAACCCCTGAGTGTCAGCCAGCCCTGGGCCCCACGTCCCCCCGAGATGACAGTGACAGCAGTAGTACTGTACCACAGGACCAGTGCTGTGGGTCCACTCGGGCCAGCACTCGAATTGGCAGGTCACGAGGACAGAAATTGAACTGGAGGTTCCAGGACTGGGGACCACAAGAGAAAGCTGAATGGTTTCCTCCTGTGCAGCCTCAAAAAAAAACCACTGGAGGGTCAGCTGGGAGTCAGTTCTGACCCCAGCAATAAGGTTTCTTAGGGGTTGGGGACGGAGAGGGGGTTATTGCTTAATTAGCACTGCTTTTCTGTTTGAGGTGACAAAAATTTTGAAACTAGAAAATAGTGATGGATGAAAAAACACTGTAAATATAACAAACACCCTGAATTTTATCTGTAAAAATTATTGAAATGTAATATGTATTTTCCTATAACAATGAATACAAATGCAAGATTCTGTAGAATGATAGACTTAAAGCTCAAGAAAATTTTCAAACATGCACGTAAGTAGAAGTGGGAAAGAACATGAACTCCATGTCCCTGTGGCTGAATGGTTTTGGTGTCTTAGCCCCCCTGCTGACGTGTGTTGGGGGGATCGCACAGAGCCCATCATTTCACTCCCAAGAGGGGCTGGTTCCAGACGTAACCGCATGGCAGCATTGCCCTTCTCCCCAAGCCACCCCAAACCATGCTTGAGCTTCTGTCTGGGCTCACATTCCCCAGATGGCTTACAGATTCTTCTTAGAGCTGGTTTATTCAACAGCAGCTCTATTTGCTGTCCCTGTTCCCACCGATCGTCCTGCCCAGTGTCCACATTCCATATTGGGAGTTGCGTGGTGGGCCGGGGTCCCCTGGAATTGGGGCCCAGTTCTGGCTGACATTTGGTCTCTTCTACCTGGGTGAGGCACAGACATTGGTACCTTTCTGTGAGGTGAGGGTCTATTTGCACTCAGGTGGTTACAGAAAGAGAAACAAAATATAGCTGCTCCTTAAAACAGGAAGTCTTCATACACAGTCAGACATTTTGAGGATTTTCTGGAAAAATGAAATGAAAATACACATGAGCTGTATTTACTGTTAGGGAGAACGTTTGCCTCCCTGTGCTGTAGGCAGGCCATCCACTGTTCTCTGTGCCGAGGACACCGGGACAGGCAGACTTGGGACATCTGTGCTCACTTTTCACCTTTAGGAATTTGAGAGTGTTTTCTGTGGGAAAACCGGCAGAAGGCTGAAGTTGACCAGACCAGACTCCTTGGTGACATGTCCTACCCAGGAGAGTCTGCAGAGCAGCCCGGCGATGGAGATCAAATGACTGGACCTGGACACTGGCTCTTCAAAGTCCACGGCACCCCCGTGGTGACCCAGGCGTCCCCTGCCGTCCAGAGGCTCTGCTCTGCTCCAGCTTGACCTCCCACCATACCCGCTTGAGGTGACAGGGCTCAGTAGGGGCTGTGTAAGCACGTGTAGAAAAGCTGACCTAGAACCAAATATTCCCACCGATAATGTCCTCCCAGACCACTTGGGATGGCGACAACTTGACAGCAATTTGTAAGCAATTTTTCAATGATCTGTCTGATTCTATCATGTTTTCTTAACATGATAACTTAGAAAATGAACAACCTTTGTATTGGTTTAGTCTGGAAGGGTACATTGCTTTTTACTTACTGCAATTTTAAATTTGCCCACTTAGCAATTGGAACAAGTTAAACTGTTCTTAACTAGAAGTAGTTTGGCCACTTTATTTTATTTTTGTTAGATCTCAACCCCCTTGTGATAGTCCCCGTCAGACGGTGCTGCGTTGCAAATGCAGTGCCATTTTAAACCATTTTACCAGAATCTTCCGGCAACTCCTTTTATAGCTACTTTTGCCCATAAATGAAACATTGTCACAGTAGATTGCTTAAATGCCCCTATTTTCACCCCAAGAGCCATTACTTTATGTGTAATAAATGGTAGTGTTTGGAACGGAGTTTCTCCAAATGAGTGGCTTTATTTGTTACAATGGACAGTAGCACAGGCCTTTGTGCAGCACAAGTACCGTCAGTACTGTCAGTAAATACTGTCAGTCAGGACAGGCGCGTCGGGACGCGTACTGAATGTTCATGGTCCCAAGGAAATGTACAGAAGTTCCTCTATGTACACTTTAGCGTCCTCTCCAATGCTGGGTTCAGTTGGTTGGCTTGGTGCCTGTGTTTGAGGTACAGTATCACAGACTAGTGGGTCTCTGTAAGGACATGCAGGGGTCCTCCCAAAGACCAGTGTCCACTTCGGTGTCATGAAGATGCTGAGGGCTTTCAGATGTACTGAGCATGCTGGGAAGCACGCTGACCTGGGGGCGCCTCTTGACACGCCTCTCCCCGACATTGCTTGTCACTCTTCACATCTTTATGAGCTTCTTGCGCCCGACTTCTCCCCACCTCCTCCTAGCACAGCTCCCTGACAGGCTGAAGTGTCACAGATCCCAGGGGTCCCCTGTGCTCCCACCGCACCAGGAATGCCAGGGTCGCCGGGGGCCCCGGGCTCTCCATGGGCACCGTCCTGCCCGTCTTTGCTTGTTCCGGGGACCCCTTGGGGACCTGGAGACAGACATAGATGGAGGGGAGCACAGATGCTTCCCTCTGGCTGCTCACCCACACCCCCACTTCATTCCAGCCTGCTTCCTAATCCCTGGGAGGTGAGGATGCCAGGCAATGCCCTGCGCGAGAGGTGCACGGTGTGATGGGAGCTTGGATGGGCCACAGGGTGGGCAGCCAGAATGAGTTCTTACTGGCTGCTGGGTGAAGAGTGGATTTCAAGTGGGCAGGAGAGGAAGCCAGCAGTGGGCAGGGGCGGAGCAGGGTGCCGCGCATACAGGGAAGTGCTCTGTCCACTGGGGGTCAGCTGTGCATGCGGGAAAGGAGCTGTCAGTGTCCTCTGTGGGCAGGAGGTGTCAGGGCCTTTGCTGGACGCCATTGGGGTCTGGCATCCACAGGACTGTCAGCATGTAAGTGACTCTCCGGCCACACCCTGCACTGCTGGTGGGGGAACGTGATTGCTGGGGGATGCTATTGGCCAGAAACATGAATTGACCAGTGGACATGACCAGCCGGGGTCATGATCAGCTGAGGACATGATGGCTAGGTGCTTGAGCCTTGGGATATAAGGGTGAAGTCAGCCCTGGGTAGTGCGGATCAGGAGAACACCCAGGAGGCATCGAGGAAAGGGAATGTGGAGGCAGTGGCCCATGTACCCCGAGCTGGGAGCAAGCCACTGACAGGGAACCCAGACCTGGAGGATGTATATTCAGCTAAAAATGATCCAGGACAGAGCCATTAAGGCAGAGGGAACCAGACACAGACAGTCGAGGGCCTTTGCCAGGGACAGGGATGCCTCCATCCTGTGACAAACCCTGAGGGTCTGCATGTCTGCGTGTAGGTCCAGGGACATATGAGCCAGCCCAGGGGAAGGACCAGCTGTGTGACAGCTCGTGGCCAACAGCCTCGTGCAGAATTTTAATCCATTTCCCTGAGAGTGATACGCGGGCCTGTTAGAGGAACTGTCCACATGGAGAGCTGTTTCTTAAGCAGTCCTGGCCACACCTTTAGGAAGGCTTTGTGGAAAGCAGGGGTTTCTTCCAGCAAGAGGGGGCAGCCAAGAGCATTCTAGCAAACAAGGCCCGCTGACCACCACAGCCTCCTACCTTGGAGCCCCTGGTCTCCCTCAGGCCCATCCAGGCCAATGCCGATAGCACCCTTGTCCCCTCTGTCACCTTGGTTTCCTGTGAGGAGACAATGAATATTTTACTTGTCCTTTTGGAACACAGGTTACTCACTTTAAGAGAGATTGTTGTTGCTGCTGTTGTTCGGTGCTGTCAAGTCTGAACCAACTCACGTCTCCAGTGGGTTCCTAGAGCATAAACCACAAGAGAGGAGGCAGCACAGCACTTTACCACTAAGCTTCTATGATAAAGCTCACTGCCACCTTCCCCTGTGCGGGACCCTCGGCCAGGCAAGGGCAGTGTGTACCACCAGTGTGGGCCCCAGGGGTGCAGACAAGCTGCACTCATCTTGACCACAGCCTGGTCCCAGGTGTGGGGTGTCTGTGGGAAACCAAATATCAAACCAAATATTAACCTAAATGATAAACCAAATGCTTTACCAGGATTTGAGGGAGGCATAAATACAAGCTGGAATTTCTCCTGAGACTGGTCACAGGGGTCGCATGCCAAGGCAGACCGTAAGGCCACAACTCTTGGATTGTATTTGCTGACCCCTCCCTCCTGAGTCAAGCAGAAGGTTTTCAATAGAAAGAGCCTGGCTTCATTTGCAGTGAATTCTCTTTGTGATTTGCTCCCTGGCGATTCTCAATAAAGACACAGGAAAGCTGGGTTCTGGGCTTCAGTCTTCAGCTGGTCACCCCCTGCCTTTACATTGTTCTTCTCAGTCCTTGGTGTCCTCATCTCCTTTTTCCTTGTCCTGTGCCAACAACAGGTGTCCACGTTTGATGGGGCTTTACTTTTGTTCACAGTCCTTTTCCTTATTAAACAAGGCCCGCCCAGGAGTTAGGTCAGCGTGTCTCAGATGCCCCTGCAGCTGTGCTTCTCTCTCCATGGGCCTCCTCCCACCAGATGTATTGTCTCCTGTCAGGATGGCAGGTCTGCTGGCCCCCAAGATGGTTTAGAAGCTCTGATGTTACCCAAACATGCTGTGCCAGTCTATTCCTGGCAAGTGGACTGGCTGACCAGTTTATTGGCCATAGGCCAGGAGGCACTGTTGTTAAGGTCAAGGAATGCTGTGGGCACAGCATTTAAGGTAATAGTCCGAGTCCACCAACTGTTCTGTGGGAGTCAGATGTACAGTGCCATCCTGTAAACATTTACAGCCTCAGAAGCTGACAGAGAGTCGGACTGAAGCCGAGCTGATGCGGCAGCTGTGGGTTTCCCCTGGTCAGCATTTGTTAGCAGATGTCCTGAGCCTTCTCCGGCATCTCCTCCAACTGCCCAGGATACAGGAGCAGCAGCACACAGGGCCGGCCACTCCCAGGCCCCGAGGGAGCGGCTATGCTGTAGAGCTGCAGGGGCATCTGATGACCACATGAAGCTGACGGCACAGCGCAGAGGTTCACATTCGAGCTGATGGGGTGCTCCTGACGGGGTGCTCCTGCCCCGTGCGGCTCCCGTGGATTTCCAGGGAGGGGAGCTGCTGCTGTTGCAGATGTTGTGCACTCATCCTGACTCACCCCACGTGCCCGTCCTCCTCCTCCCCAGCCGCTTGCTCACTGTAAACTCCCTCACTCCTGTGGCCACTGCGTCCTTCCCCTCGTTGAGGGGCTTCCTTTTTCTCTCTGACCCTCTATCAGTCATGATGTCCTTCTGCAGGGACTGGTCCCTCCTTGAACATGCCCACCGAGCTCACTTCAAAGGAGGATTCTGGCTGGACTTCCAGGACACTTTGATCGGTCTTCTGGCAGTCCTTTCACAAACAACACAGTTCTCCAGTCTCCTTTCTTCACTGTGCAGCTTAACTATGCGTGTGAGACGCTGGAAAGACCAGGCTGCTCTCTGGGATTCACACAGCTGAGTGATCATCTGTGCTGCCAGATGTGCCTCCTCTGCTCATAGCTGAAGTCCAGGGACCGAGCGGGCGGCCACCCTGCAGACACCAGTGCTCCTTCAGGTCTGTCTCGACTCATCAGAGCTCCTGTTTCTTCACAACTCTTCAACTACATGGTTTTGATTTTTTTATATCTTTGATTTTTGCATCAGATGTTCCTACCCACTGCCGGTTCCTGACTGCGCATAATGGGACTCCTCCCTAGTTGTCTCACATTGTAAGTGGACGTTGTTCTGTGGCTGAGAACTAGACATGACTGAAATGCCCTCCTGCCGGCCCTAGGATCTCTGGTGGCGTACCACATAACGGTGCCAGGCTGCTAACTAAAGTCAGGGGTCAGAGTCCATGAGGCGCTCTGTGGAAGAAAACTTGCCAGAGGGGAGCCACGCAGAACCCGACTGGACACCCGACTGGACAGCAGTGGACTGGTCCTGCCCAGTCAGCAGTGAGCAGCTGTTGGTAACAGTAACAGGTAATTGGTCTCATCAGTCTAGAAGCTCCCAGGTCCCTCTCGAGAGCTAAGATGACTTTCGGGAGGCACCTGCCACACCTACACAGCTTTTGTAACGGTTTTTTGTAGCCCCGATTTTGTAGCATTTCCTATGCAACCACTGACAGGCACTGGCCGAGCTGTAGACAGTAGGAGAGGAGGGCGTGGAGGCATTAGATGCCCCAGCACCCCTTCCCTGGGTTCTCTCCTCAGAGCATCTGTGGTGGGAGGGGCTTCTGCTCTCTCCTGACAGAGAAACATCTGGGGTCTCTGTGGAGATGTCCACAGTAGAGCAGGGCTGGGCCCAGTCACTCACCTCGGGGGCCGGGGTCTCCCAGCTCTCCAGTGGGACCACGATATCCAGGGGGCCCTCGGGCACCAGGGTGGCCAATGGAACCTGGGGGTCCTGGGGGCCCAGGGGGTCCAGCAGGCCCAGGCCGCCCAATGGACCCTGGTGCCAGCGGCTTCCTCAGGTGAGCTGCCAGCTGTGCGATTTGCTCTTTGGAAACAGAAGATTTACAAGAAGGTTCTTGAGGAGGAGGAGGGTTCTCGAGAAGGAGGAGGAGGGGAGGGTTCACGAGGAGGAGGAGGAGGGTTCTCGAGGAGGAGGAGGAGGGGAGGGTTCACGAGGAGGGCTGGGAAGCAGAGACACTGCCCGCCTTGTGGGTCCTCGGCAGTTGATGGTGGACCAGCCCAGCTGCTCATAGCTGGACATCCCAGGAGCTCCTCTCTGTCCTGGAACCCCGGGTAGGGAGTCCTGGGTTAGAGCTAGTCAGCAGGTCTTCATTTTGTACAGACGACAATGGATGGGGTGAGGGAGGACCACTGGGGACAGGGCAAGGCCACAGCACAGAGAGGACAGGGGAACCAGTGCCACTAGAGTGGACTGGACAGAGAGGCCATATGCCAGGGCTAGTTGGCAGGACCAAGGTGAGCATACAGTGATGGTGTGAAAGGCCGAGAGTACTGCAGAGACACTAACTTCCCCCAAACCCTGGCTGGTTCTCTGACCTCCTCCAGAGAACATCTGTGTCCAGAAAGCAGGGCCTGTGAGGGGGCAGCCTGCCTAGGTGCAGCAGCCATCCCCATTGACCGCCCACCACACTGCCCACTCACCACGCCCCCACATAGATGACCACACCCCATGCAATGCTAACCACGCCCATGCCATGCAGACCCCTCATGCCACCAGCCATGCCCCCACTCACCACTGATCACGCCCCCGCACAGTTCCCTGATGTGCTGCTCACTGGCCTCCTTTCCCTGAAAGTCCCCACAGACCAGTGAGGAACGGTCCCTCTTCTCCCCCTGAAACTACTCACTGGTTTAGAAAGGACATCCTAGTCCAGACAAGGGCCGAGGAAGCACCTACCGGGACTCCTGGCTTCCCTGTAATCCCAGGGACACCCTGGATCCCCTGAAAGCCCACAGGGCCAGGGAAGCCTGGCACCCCTTGAACACCGCTGGTGCCATTGGGACCCTGGATGCCTTTGGGGCCAGGTTCGCCTCTGTCGCCAGACTGAACAAAAATAGCAGAGAAAGGTGGTCACAGCCATGCTGGTCAGGTCCTGTGACTTCTCCACCCAAACTGGGCACTGCCACTGCCAGACATCCTGGTCACCAGGGTGCTGGGCCAGGCACCCATTGACTCACCGCTCCTTTGGGTCCGACCGGCCCACTGGGACCCTGCAAAAGGAGAGGGCTTCCTGTTAGTGACCTGTGTGTTCCTGACACCGGGGTATGGGCTAGCACTCTCCTACTTTCCTAGGGGGATTTGGAAAAGGATTTCAATAAGAGCTGCACCGAAGAGAACTCAGAGTAACGGGCACTGAGCAAGCAGGACAGGAGGGCGAGAACACTGTAAAAAGCACCCAGGTTACTGAACAACGTGACAAGGGAAACCAGTGTGCTGTGAAACGCTGCCCAAAGGCCCAAGTCATAAATAAGGCTGGAATGAAGTTCATCCACCTCCTAGCTGTGTGTCCAGGAAAGCCCAGGCCAGGCCTCCATCGCCTGTTGGCTGGGCCAGGACACAGCTCTGCTCAGCAGCGTCCTCTGGCACTCCCCTCCCGCTCTCTGACCACTGAAGCAAATGACTGTCAGGCCCCCCAGCTCAGGGTCGGCACTGTCCCTCTGCCACCTCATCAGATCAACAGGGCTATTTGTCAAGGTGGTCTAAGGGCAGGCAACCCCAGGCTCCACTCCCCATACACAACTGAGCTCTTGTCTGCAGATAAACAGCTCACCTGGGGGTGAGCTGTTCCAGACATAGGGACTGCTTAATTATAGGACTGAATGTCCTGACCTCTTCAGTCTGCCCCCCACCAGTGACTGCAGCTCTACACTTACCCTAGAGGAAAAGGGGGACAGGAATGTGGCGATGGTGGCACAACAAAAGATTTATGATTTCCAGTTCTACAGCTCTGCGTGCGTGTGTGTGTGTGTGTGTGTGTGTGTGTGTGTGTGTGTGTGTGTGTGAAAACCATGGCTAATTCCTGTTGAAAGACCTTGATGGAGTGACTTTCACAAGTGATGTTCTCAAACCAACTCCTGCTCCTCACTTGACTGCCCCTCTTCCAACAACTTAGATTTACCAAACTCCACAACTTTCTTCATCACATTAACGATGTACGCCTGGCAGGACTAAATGCAAGAATAATGCTGACTGTGATGGGGAGGGCTGTGCATGTGACGGGCTGTGTGTGAAGGGGGGCTGTGTGTGTGAAGGTGCTGTGCGTGTGATGGGAAGCTGTGCATGTTATGGGGGTTATGTGTGCGACGGGGCTGTGAGTGATGGGGCTGTGCATGTGACGGGCTATGTGTGTGTGATGGGGGGCTGTGCGTGTGACACGAGGGGGCTGTGCGTGTGATGCAGGGGGGCTGTGAGTGTGATGGGGACTGTGCATGTGATCCTGGAGCAGGTGTGATCCTGCCCCATTGCTTGGGGATGGGCAGTCAGTTGTCTTGTCAGGCACTCTTCATTTGCCTGGAGGGACATACAATGTCCATGGCCTCTACACTGACCAGTCACTCTTATTCTCATCTGAGTGTGTTGGTGGCCCCACGATGCATGTCCTTAAAAACTGTTGTTCCCCAAAGCTAAAGGTCAATGTGTCACACTTACCAGTTCCCCTTTATCACCAGGCAGACCATCAGCACCAGCAATGCCCTGGGAAGGACACCTCAGGTTAGGGGGAAAGGTAACCCCAAGCCAGGGGATGCCTTCCCGTCCTAAGTTATTGAACTAAGGCCTCAGGTATGTCAGAGTCACCTAGGGGCCAGCCCAAACTCAACCTCAGAGGTATCCAGAGGTCCAGTATCCTGCCTCTTCATCAGCTTTCGAGCCTTAGTGATGCAGTGGTTAAGTGCTGGCTTATAACTAAGAGGCTGATGGTTTGAACTCACCAATAGCTCTCAAGGACAGAGTGCTGCTTATCTGGACCTGGAACCCAGAAGCCAACAGGGCACTTCTCGGTCACATGGGCTTATCGTGTGTTAAAGAGAGCAGTTCTTTGTCACATGGGCTCATGTGTTAAAAGTGGCCTGATGACCCCAACAACAGCAACCTTAACCCTCAATCCCCACCCAACAAGCCCTCATATCTGCCACCTCCCTGGGCACCTGGAGCTTGGAGGAAACAGAAGTGAGAGCAGTTAAGAGCAGGCTACAGAGAAGTGACTGTATCTCTCATCTGGGCCCGTGGATAGAGCCATGACCTGAGCCCAGACCTGCCCTCCACACAGAGTTTGTCAGGAGGGCAGAAGGACTCCTCCCTGGGACTCCTATCAGCCCCCACACACACACACACACACACTGCTACAGACCATCAGTCAGTAGCCTGGAAGCTAGATGGCTAGCTACAGTGGTCTCTAAGACCAGCTTGGGGATCTGGGTGGATGGAGCTTTTGTCACTGGGGGACTGAGTGTCAGGGCAGGGTGACAGGGATGGAGCTGGAGAAGACAGGAAACACTAGGAGAACGGGAGTCTGCAAACAGGCAGAGTTCTGTGCCAGGACAGCACGGGCTGTTCCCACCCTGAACCAGACGTGTCTGCCCCTCACCTGGTCTCCCTTCCGACCCGCAGCTCCTACAGCGCCCTGCAGGCAGAGAAGTCACTATGATAAGGGTTACAGTGTCCCCAAGGTGGCCTCTCAGCATCCACACAGCACAGAGGGCAGTGTGAACATGAATGGTACATCCCAAACTCCATCCCAAATTCTGCTCTGCACCCAGAACTCCCTGTGACTCCCCTCTGCACCCTGTGCTCACTTCCTACAGTCTGGCTTCCTGCTTCTGGCCCGCAGCATCACAGGACTCTAGTGGGGAGTGGGCCCCTGTGTGTGGACACCACCCACCATCAGTGGCTACTTCCTCAATCCTCTACCAGTTTGTGGCAACCTCAGAGGGAGAGGCTAGGCTCACACAGCAGACTGGGTGGTGGAGAAGGTCACTTGCTCAGACCACAGCAATGGGACAGTCGCCAGAGCAGAAAGTGCCTTGCCTTCCCCAGGTACCACCCAGGGAACCCAGCAGCCAGCCCCCAGCTGCGGACAGGGCATCCCTCGTGCCCAGACTGTCAGCCCTGTCCCTCCTCCATCTCGGAGGCCTGGCTAGTTGGCATGCCCCCATCCCTGGACTTCCACCCTGAGGCTAAGAAGGGCCCCTCTGTCTTTCCAGCCACACTCCCTGGAATGAAGGGGAGCCGAAAAGAGTCCCTGAGTCCTTGTGGCTTCCTGGAAGGCTGGAACAGTCAATAAAAGCCTTGTTCTCACCAAGGGGGTCTCCCCACCTCCTCCTCCCCGAATGACAGTGCAGTACTGGGCTGAAAGGTCCTGGGGGGTCGCCCCATGTCCCAAGTAGCCCAGGCTCAGCACCTCTCCTGTGTACCTGAGCAGGGTTACCAGCCCACAGGAGCTGGCCGTCCCTTGTGAAGACACTGCCTCCTCCCCATCCCAGCCAGAAACTCAGCAATGACCATGCTAAGAGTAACTGTCCCTGACCTTGAACAGGGACTCCATTGTCTTCCCTCAGCAGAGGCAGCCTGGGACTGCTCTGTGTGTGTGTGTTGGGGGTTACCATGAGGAACCACAGAGATGTGATCAGGCCAGCTTAGCTCGGAGAATGGTGGTCATGAGCACTACTGGCCGTGTGACTTTCCACCCCCACCCCAGAGCAGGTGCTCCCTGGAAATCACCTCCAGAATCAGCCAAGATACCAGCCGACTCCCATGCTGAGTCCCAAGTGTGTGCTGTGTAGTGACTGTCTCCCGCATCAGATGTGGTGTGGGGTGACCATCCTCGGGTCAGAAGGTATGAGTGTGGAGACTGTGTCTAGAGGGAGGTATCCCCCATGTCTGGAGAGCCGCTGTGTGGGTGTTAGCAGGACCTCCCTTTCCAGAATAGTCACTTACCTGGTCACCCACGCCACCTCGGAGGCCCTGGGGGCCCGGCAGACCAGGTTCCCCGAAGCTGCCCTTCCGGCCCTGTGGACACAGTCCAGCCCATCAACAAGCCCCCAGCAGAAACTCTGTCCCCCAGGCCTCATCATCCCAAGACCTGTGGTCACTTCCCAAACCCAGCCTGAGCTGTACGCACCTGGAAACCTCGAATGCCAGGGGCACCAGGAGGGCCTTGTGGGCCAAGAGCCCCCTAAAGGGTGAAAAGAGGGAACGAGTAAGTGTCCCTGCGGTACTCCTGGAGAGTGCCCTCCACTGGCAAACCCTGGACAGGCAGGGCCTTCTGCAGTGCCAATCTCAGGAAAGTCAAGGGGCAGAAGTCAGTATGTCCAGAGGAAGGGAGAAGGGGTGGGGTCAGGAAGGGACATCTGACTTAGCCACTGGTCTGAGGGACTTCAGCAGCTCCCCCAGGGTCGAAGGTCTGGAGAACGCAGGACTGTACCCCTCACTCACCGCTGAGCCTCTGTGGCCAGCCTCACCACGCTCTCCTGGCATCCCCACGTCTCCCTGCAAGCAAGTGGGGTGCTGTGAGGGCAGGAACCACACGGGAGAGGGCGGCTCTACGGAGGGTAGGGGGGCATGGAGGTGGGTCCACATGGGTTGGAGCAAGTCTACCCAGGGTGGGGGCAGGGTCTATACTGGCTGGAGTTCACAAAGAGTAGAGACGGGGCTACATGTGGTGAGGGCAGGGTCTACACTAGACGGAGTCCACACATGGATGGAGGTGAGACTCACATGAAGTGGGCCCCACCCTGACGAGAGGTGATTCCACAATGGGAGGAGGTATGTTCCGCATGAGGGGAGGGCAGGGCAGGGATGTACAGGAGGCCTGGGCTGGAGCGTGGTTGCCTGGCAGGGTCACTACAAAGGCCATGAGGACTGGAGATGGGTCTGAGGCTGGAGGGGCAGCGTATTCACAGGGTGAAGGCAGGTATCAGGAGTGATGGGCCCGGTCCATAGGTCTATTCAGGAACTTGGGCAGTGGGTGAGGGTATGAGTGGGGGGAAGGTTATGAGAAGGATGGGAGCAGGATACGTACAGGGACACCTGGCTCTCCTGAGGGGCCAGCTTCACCCAACTCTCCGGCTCTTCCCTGTGGATAGTGGGGTACACTGAGTGCCGTCTGCATCCCAGGGCCGAGTGCTGATCCCTCTCCCAAGAAACCTACATACCAGTTCTCCCTTCTCGCCTTTGGACCCTGCTCGTCCAGGGAGACCCTGCAGGACAGGGAAGAGTCAGAGCCTGGAGCCCCAGTAACAGGGTGTGCATGGTTTACAGACCCAGTGGGCCTCCCACTTCCCCTGGCAGCCCTGGCTTCTGGGGCAGAGTTCGTCCAGTATGCCCTGCCGAGGCCCCAGGACAGGCCAGCAGGGCAGTTCACAGGCTGGCCCTCGCCAACCACAGTTCATCCCAGTCTGGCACAGACCCAGGCCCACACCCCCTCCTCTGCCGCTCTTCCCTCACACTTACTGGTAGACCGTTGGGCCCCTTCCCTCCAGGACCACCATTCCGACCAGCCTCGCCCTGTGAGGACCAGCAGTGGGGAGCTGAGGACATGGGTGCCAGGCTCTGTGCTCAGTCTTCACCCACAACCTTGGCCCCACACCAACCTTCTCTCCATCCAGACCTGGAACTCCATCCCGACCATCTTTGCCTGGCATGCCCTGGGGATAAGGACAGCGGAATCTTTGAGCCAGAGTGCCCCATCCTTTCCTGAGCCAAGACACCTGCCTCCCTGTGCCCACCCCAAGGCTGCTGCTCCTGGTGACAACAGTCACCTGGGCCCAGGGTGACCCTTGGAGGCCACAAGGCACAGGTAGAGGCAGACAGCATATGAGGAGTGGTGGCTGGGTCCATGGGGGAAACTGAGGCTGGGAGTTGGCATCAGGATGCAGGCCTGCATGTTCCTGCACTCTTGGGCACTGTGTCAGAAGCAAAACTAGACACACCTAATTGGTCAGGTTTATTCCCAGGGGTTCACCCCAGGTACACAACACCAGTCTGTCCTACGAGAGAGGTTCCAGGGGGTCTGCCCCCCAGGGTCGGGTCTGGAGGGAGGGCCATGCTCACATCTGATGTCCCTCCTGCCAGATTTCTTGCAGGAAAGGAGAGAAGCCCAACCCTAGATCCCAGGTGGGGCTCATCCAAGGACCACCATGGGCAGAGTCAGCAGGCTGGACCCTGTGAGGGGTCTCCTGACCACAACCAAGGATGAGCTGCCCCAGAGCCCACAGAAGGAAGGAAGACACCAGATGCTCTGCTGGAGAAGGGGGGCAGTCTCCTCCTGTACCAATCAGATCTGATTTGGTGGTAAACACACATAAAATAATAAAAAATTTTAAAAAAAGACAGTGCTTTTTTAAAAAAAAAAAAAAGGAAAGGAAGAAGCAAGAGCAGCCACTCACTGGTTCCCCAGCCTGCCCAGCAAGTCCAGGGATCCCTTTGGGGCCAGGTTTGCCCTGAAAGACAAGGAGAAATTGAAATAGTTGAGGCGGCTGAAACACTTCCCCACCTGCATGTCTGGGGGGCTTGGGGGTGGGGGATGGGGTGGGGGATGGGATGACCCAGGATGAGGCGGCTGGGGGGGGGGGAAGGTGGTGTTGGCAGAAGGAGCTGTCTACGCTAAGACTAGCCCATCTCTCGACCTGGCGAGCGTTCACTCATTCACTTTGCTTGCCCCTCAGGCAGCCTCAGCCATGTGCTCTCTGCTTGTCCACAACCCCAAATGGCTGCTGACTGGTCATCCTGGACAAGGGGACGCCTGGAGGGGCATCTCAGGAAAGCAGCTCAGGGCACAGGGAGATCTGGGTGAGGGCACCTCTTGGAGGTGGCCTCCTTCCTCCACCAAAGCCACCTTGGGGTCACCACCCCATGTGCCCTTTCTGACCTCCCCCCTCCCTGGGACAGGACTGGTGTGAAGTGCTTACCCCACCCCCCCACCCCATGTCCTCCCTGACCCCTCAGCCCCACCTCTGCACAAGGACAGAAAAGGAAGGTCTTGTTCACTTACAAGGTCACCCTTGGGTCCTCGGAATCCCTCAGGACCCCTCTCGCCTCTGTCACCCTAAGAAACAAGGGGGGCAGGGACAAAGTTCACAACACAGAGCAGTCGTAGGGCTGGGGGTCTGACTGGGCAGCGTCCCTGAGAGATCAGAGCGGGGACTTCCTGTCCTTGATGACAACCTTCACCACATGTGGAGGTGGGGGACGTCCCTGTTCTGCACTTCGGGCCAGCTCATCCCACCAGGCCAGACACAGCCTAATGGTCTCCACCTGGACAGGCAGGGGATATGCGTGGGACACCCTCCATGCATGGGACACACGTACCACTTTCCCAGGTGCTCCTGGAACCCCTGGGGGCCCTCGGAATCCAATGGGACCCTGTGGAACAAAGGAGTGTCTACACCTGACCCATAGAGAGCACCCTGCAGTGTGCACCCCTTGCTGGGTGAGCCCCTCACAGGTGTACCCCTAGACCCCAGAGAGAATGACCATAACCCTGGCAGCCCTTCCTCCTCCAGTGGGGTCCCACTCCCCAGCACCCCTTCCCCAGAGCAGCTTTCAGAAAGCCCCACTTTGTGAAGCTGTGAAGGGTCCCTGATGACATGGGGATGTTCCACCCAGCTGCACCTCCCTATTGCCTTGGGCTCTGAGTGGGGTGCCCCAGCGAGTCCCGGTCCTGGACCTCCTGGAAATGTGGTTTGTGTCCCTGAGGTCAGACAGCCTCTCTGACACCTGTGCACTGGGGTCGGGGGCACACAGAGACACTAAGGGACTGGACTTACCCGGTCCCCAGGGGGACCCAGTGGCCCTGGGAGGCCTCGAAGTCCTCGGGGGCCCTGTGGAGATAGCCGGAGATGCAGAGTCCCAGACAATGGGCCTGTCCCCCACTCCACCCTGAGAGCTGGTTCCAGTGCGCCCGAAGGCCCTTGGCCACAGCTCCAGACCCGCAGAGCTTACAAGCAGGTAGGTGCCATGGAGTGGGACCCCAGTCCCACATAGCCCCTCTGCTGGGCACTGCCCCCCTTGGCCCTAAGCTATCGCCCTTGGGTGGCTGTCCCAAGGTTTTCCACTGCCACCTTCCCCCCTTGCCCTGCCCTGGCAGGACTCACCTGCAGCCCCACAGTGCCCGGGAGGCCAGCGGGCCCAGGCGGGCCAGGGTCACCCTACGGCATGGATGACAAAGTGTGTCAGTGGTGAGTTACTTTTCCAGCCCCCATCACAGCTCGTCACTCACCCCCAGGTGAGCTCCCAAGTGTAAAGGAGGGGCACAGTGAGTGCCACAGGCCTCGTCACATGAGTGCACTGAACACCTCATATGTCCCTATGGGTACTGCCTGTGCTCTTGTACCAGCCTGCACCCAGGCCCCTCTTCACGCCCGCCCCTCTGTTTCAGAGCCAGCCTAGGACCCCCTTCCCACCTACCCCAGCCCCTCAACATCCCCACTACGACCAGGCCACCCACCCAGGGATCTGCCCACCACGTGCCGCCCACACTAGCAGGGTCTCTGCCCACCTTCTCGCCGTCCTTGCCGACTTCTCCCTGATCTCCTTTGTAGCCGGTGGGTCCCTAAGGCAACACAACAGGCAGTGGGACACAGCACACACAAACCCTCTCAGGGGCCCACTCCCAAGAGCGTGGGGCCCAGTCCAAGAGCTCAGGAAGGCAGGCTCCACCCATGGGGGGTGGGGGATGGGGATGTGATGAGGCTGAGAGGCTGCTGTCAGCCAAGGAGAAGGCAGTGGGGTGGGACAGTGTGTGACCTCCAATTAGTCACCACCCTCTGTCCTCAAGGCCCAGGCCCCCAGACCCCCAGACATGGAGTGGACAGTGCAGGGCTCACAGAGAGTGGAAGACTGAATCCTTCCACCCGTGAAAATGCTCCCCCAGCCCTCACACCATCCTCAGGCTCACCTTGAACCCTGGCATTCCCGGGGGGCCTGGGGGCCCAGGCGGGCAGATGGCAGGACACTGTTGGATAGCATAGATGATCAGAGCCCTCCCGAGGAAAGGCCTGAAGCTGAAGTCAGCCCCAGGGCCCCCTGATGGGGTCACTCAGCAGTGGGCACGAGTGGGAGGGGCTGTCCAGGAGCTGGACACAGGAGGCCCTCTTCCAGGGGCTCTGATTCCTGAGACACCTCCCAGGACTCAGCAGCTACTTGTCCTAGAGAAGGAACCCCAGCCTCCCTCATCCCACAGGCTCCGGGGTGAGGACTCCAGCATTTTGGGAGCCAGGCCTGAGCTCAGTGACACCACTCCAAAACATGTACCCAGTGCCAGTGACTTTGAGATTTCGAGATCATTCCACAGCTGTACTAGGGCAGAGCCTAGCACCTTCAGGTCATGCCCTCACCCACCCCACCTGCCATGGTTTCCAGTCCTCAGGGGACCCTGGGACCACTCAGACACGTAGGGTGGCCGGCAGCGACAGCTGGTATGTTCTCCACAGCAGTTCAGGGAAGTGGGGAGACTACCCTTGGAGGACACAAACTCGGCTCCATGGAAATGAGGTGGCACCACAGGGGGAGAGGCTGTGTGCTCCTCTCCTTCCACAGGTGCACACATTCCTACTGGGGGACCGCTTTTGGCTTTGGTGTGCTCGCTCTGTGCCCCAGTGCAGCCCATTTGTCAGGCAGGGCTGAGGCCCACAGATGTAGCTCAAAGCAGAAGAAAGGAGAACTGAAGGCATTCTGTCTAGGGTGGCGTGGACCTGACCAGGCCTGCGAGGGCGTGTGGAGGGTGCAGTCTACCTGGCCTGAGCCAGAGTGGGTATCACCTCACTTGCCTCTTCAGCTCTGCCGCCTCCTGTATTGAACCCCACCCTGACCCCAGCACCCAGGAGCTCCCACCACTGCTTCCTGTGGGTGGGGTGAGTCTGCCCTGCCTCTCCAGATTTGACGCCACAGCAGAGCCCCGGAGGCCGTGGGTCAGGCCAGACCCACTCATGCATGTGCACAGAGACACAGGCAGACACATGTGCACATATGAAAACACACACGTAAACACACTATGCACACAAAGACACATGTGAACACGAAGAAATGCAAACACATGTACTCACAGGCACATGTGTGGACACACGTGCACCTGTAAACATGCATGGACAAGAACACACATAGAGACACCTACAAATGCACATATGCATGCATGTGTAAGCACACATGCACAAATGTACACACAAGTGCACACGCAGACACTGTGCACACAAGTAGATAGTTACATGTAAACAAGCAGGCATGGATCCATGCACACACCCATGAACACACGGAAATACTGTACACACATGCATGACCTGGTACAGGTAAACATGGACACATACATACGCACCCATTAAAACATGCACAAACAAGACATGCTGCACACGTTTACAGTCATATACACACAGACATGTGCACAGACGGGAACACACAGAGACATGAATGTGCCATGCCCTCATGTGCACACATGGACATACATGTGAACATGTGGCTCTCCAGGCCCCACATCAGTGCTTCCAGGTGCTCACCTGCAGGTCAGTGGCGCCTTCAGGGAGGACCCCTGGGTGTCCCTGGAACAGAAAGCTGACTGACAACAGCCCACTGGTACTTTCCCTCTGTTCACAGGAGCCACGCACCCACTCATAGACCACACCCTCCCTCTCACCAGGGACTCGGGGACCCTTCAGCCTCCAGCTTCCAGCTCCTCTTTCCCCATATGGACAGTGCTGAGCTATGTGACAATAACAGAAACTACCCTGTAGAAGTGGCCACCTAAGCCTAAACTCTGATGTCCCCATCTACTGGCGTGTCTCTGGGAGTAATGAGTCCTCACGCCATCTGGGCCCTGTGGACGGGGGCCCTGAAGACGGGGGGGGGCAGTCCATTATGCCAAGCCCACATCCTCCAGCATATCCCCGCGAGTGCTGGACTCCTGAGTAGTACTTACAGGGGGTCCAGGAGGTCCTGGGGGACCTGGGGGGCCTGGAAGTCCAGAGGGTCCCTAGAAGGAGGTGTGGCTTAGCTGGAACAGGGCTAGCCCCTGTCGTAAGAAGACTGGCCACTTACCAAGAGAAGCTATTCTCTCAGATTGGCCCTCTGCTAGCTGCCTCAGTCTCCTCCCACCTCTCCCCAACACCCTCCCACCTCTCCCCAACACCCTCCCACCTCTCCTCCCCTCCCCCAGCCCTTTCTTACCTCCCCTAATCCCTCCCCTTCCCCAATCCCTTCCTATTTCCCTTCTGCCCCTTCTATCTCCCCCCAACCCATTGCCTCCTTCCTCTAGTCCCTTCCCACCACCCCTGCTCCCTCCACCTTCTCCCCACTCCCTCCCACCTCCCTACCTGACCCTGCATCCCCTAGCCTATGACCCAGTGCTACAGTCAGCCTGTCCCTCTCCCTGAAGCAATGGCCATCCCAGGTACCACCTGCCAGAGGGGGGACAGAGGAGGGAAAGAAATGAGACACAGTAAGGGGGAGGGGAGTAAAGGGGGAGGGGAGGAGGAAAGGAGGAGAAGGGAAAAGCAAGGAGGCAGTGAGGGCACTGCCAGCCACTGGACGTGGAACCCCTGGAGTTTTGCAGTGCTCACTGGCCACCAAGGGCGTGGGCTTGCTGACCCAGTTGCAGGGATGCCTGGGACAGCCACTCACCGGGGGACCCCGAAGGCCAATTCCACCTGGGAGGCCGCTCACTCCTGCTTCTCCCTGAAGGTGGGAAAGGGTGGGTGTTTGCACTGGAAACTGCTCAAAGTCCCCTGGATCTCATCCCCACAAAGGTATTTGTTCTCTAAAGGGGTGGAACTTTGGGATGTGGGATGTGATTGTGTCCCCAGGGAGTCCACCCCCCCATGCTGTGGGACACTTTCACTTGACTTTGGGGTGAGTAGCTTGGAGGATGGTGGGGCTCTGGGTGGGGCTTCAGGGGTAGTTCATACTCACAGGTGGTCCAGGGAGGCCTTTGCCCTGTTGAGGCAACATGGATGTCAGTTCACTTGCAATATCCAGAGGCCTTCAGGGTGCATAGCTGTTCCAGAGACCTCCAGAGCCCAGTCCTCAGAACATCTAACAGAGCCCAGAGACACCTCCACAAGGACTCCTAAAGTAGCACAATCCCTTGACCCTCACACAGAGGAACCCCCAGCCAAGCACAGCCCTGAGATTTCTCCAACAGCAGCTTACACACACAGAGACCCTCAGCAGAACACAGCCCTGAACAAGCCTGTAAAACCAGATTAGGCTTGATTTCTGGGGCTCTGGGGGTCCCTAAACTTCACCAAGAGGATAGGTCTATACTTACCCCCAGCCCAGGTGGCCCTGGGGGTCCCAAACTTCCCTGCAGGAGAATAATGGTGGGCATCAGTGGGGGTTGCCTGACCTATAAGTAAAGCTCTTCTCATCCTCATAGCTCATCTCCTGGACCAGGGGCACTTACCCTCTCTCCAGGGGCACCCTTGGGTCCAGGGGGTCCATCTCGACCAGTTAGACCCTGCAGAAGGAGGCAGAGGAGGGGCCAAAGGTCAGTGGGAGCAAGTGACATAGGCAATCCTGGCCAGTCCTTCTCCCAGCTCCCTGCCACACTCAGAGCTGAGGTGCAGATTTGGGTCAACTAGGGGGGACAGTTTCAGCAGGGCAGCACATCTCAGACTGTCCCCAGTCCTATCTAACAAACCCCATGTCTCTGAGCTTCAAGCCCCACCATGGATAGACAGGGGGACAGACGGGCAGGGTGAGGACAGAGGTAGCTTGTTCCTGGAGCAGGAGCTGGCAGGCACCCCAGTCCAGTGGCGAGCTGGCTCTGACACCTGCCAGATGTCCTTTCCTTAGGTCTGGGACCAGAGCCAGACACCCATGGATGGTCTTCAGGACCAGTGACAGCCCAGCTGGAAGACGGCAATTAGACCCTGACCCCTTGACCGTCCTGTAGGTGCCCTCCAGGGAGGGCATACTCACGTCCACACCTGGCAGCCCAGGCAGCCCGGCCTCTCCAGGCTTCCCTGCTTTCCCAGGGGTGCCCTTGGGTCCCTGCAGGAGGGGAAGGAATGAGGTGATGGGACCTTTGCCTGCCTTCCCCAGGGAGCAGCCCTCGCCTTCCCTGTTGCCTGGAGATCCCCATCCCAACCTCGCCTGGCTCCTGAAGGCTGCACGCCACACAGCCCATGCTTGGAGACGGTCACTTGGCCAAGCTGGCCTCCTCAGTAAAAAAAAAAAAAAAAAAAAAAAGGCCGGTGGATGATTCTGGTTTCCCCACGGGCCCTGGTGATGGGCACACGGATCCTGTCACACTTGGGGTCAGTGCCTCTCACCCCTGAGTGGACTAGCAGGGCTGTTTGACCCCATCCCTGGCACTGCTGGGCACTGGCCCAAAGAAAGCTACAGAGCCAGACAACTGAGACACACTGGACCCTACAGTGTCCTCCACCCCCTACCTGGTTCCTAGCCTGCTCCCAACCCTCTGAGGTCTCCTCTTGGTTGACCAGCTGGTAGGAGGGGCTTCAAAGACCTGTTTTGTGTCCACCCCACCCCCAGACCCTCACCCCAGTGGGGACACTCACTGGGGGTCCTGGCAGACCTGGAGGGCCAGCTTCTCCCTGTGGGGAAAAGAACACCCCCCCATATGACCCAGTGATCCCAGAAAAGTCCTCCCCAGGGAAGCAGACAGTTCCAAAGCCTAGCAGTGGAGATACAGTGGTAAGGTCACCCCCACTTTCCTAGCCCCACAGAAGGGGTGCCCTTCCCACCATGGATAGGGGCAAGGAAGTGCTGGGTTCACCTTGTGGGGCCTTAGCTGTACTTCTGAGGGTGCTGGACCACATCCCCTCAAAAAGCACTGTCCTGAGCCACAAGCCCCACCCTGCCTGTCCAGCTGCCTCAGGGAGGTGGAGGGTGAGAAGAGACTGCGGTGGCCTCTACCAGAGTCCACTAACAGCTCTCCCTCCAGCCATCACCCTCCTGGGTGCCTTTAGCCAAGATCCCAGAACAGGGGTCAACTGAAGTTAGCAGTCTAGTGGGTGGGGGTGCAGAGGCCCAGAGAGAGCCCAGGTGAGTGGGGGAATGGGCAGGCTCCGGTCCAGGACCCCACTTGGCAGCCCTGAGTGACCACCCTGCATTGGGGGTTGGGGGGAAGGAGAGAAAGCAGGATGTGTGTAGCCAACAGGGGCAGCATGCGGGGTCCAGGCGGAGGACATCTCTGAGGGGTCTCACATGCCCTCAACCCCTCCCCTAAAAAGCAGTGTCATAAGGGGGCTCCCTTTCACTGGGTAGCAGGAGTCTAGCTGCACCCCACATGGCTTCCCCTGGGTCCACCTGGGGCACCCGTGGAGGTGCACCTTATTCCCCACACCCTCTAGTACTGGCTGCAGGCCCCAGTAGCACCAAGGAGCCCCATATCCCACCAAAGGGGCACACACACAGCTCATGGGATCCCTGAGACCCCCATCTTAGTGCACACATTTTCCATAGAGACCGCCTCAGCCACCTGCCCCCAGAGAAAGAGGATTCTGTCCTGTGCAATCTCGTCAGCAGCTCTTTGCAGAGGATGCATCCCAACCCCAAGAGAGGGGGGACTTTCATTTTCTCCCCATTGGGCTGGCCTGGGGGCTCAGAAAGGTTAGGGACAGAGCTGGGACCTCAGAGTTTGCTGAGCCCCTTCTTGTGCGTGCACATGTATAACTCACATCAATGCCATCCTTGCCAGGCTTTCCTGGAGGGCCCTGGGGGCCTGGAGGACCTCTGGGTCCTACTTTCTGAAATGGAAAGGCTGGAGGTCAGGGTGTCTGCTCAGTCTTCCTGCCCCCCCCAGCAGCAGCAGCAGGTCCTCAAGAACAAGGCCGAGCCTGTCCCAGCAGAACATCCTCCTTCTGGGCTGAAGCCATCCACCCTGGGGCTGTCTCCGGACCCTGTTGAGTTCCAGCTGTCCTGGGGCTGTCTTGGGGCCCTGGGTCTGTCTCCAGGACCCTGCTCAATCCCAGCCGTCCTGGGGCTGTCTTGGGGCCCTGAGGAGTCCCGGCCACACAGCCAGACTTGGATTTGCACTGTGTCTTTTCCAGGCTCCAGAGTTTGGGGAACAAAGGGGCCATTGTGAGTCCAGATGGCTTGGGCAGTGCCCAGACGCCAGGCTTGAGGCAAGAATGGGGTGGCCTGAGGCTCATCCTGGGGCACAGTCAGGGGACCCACAACTCCCCTGCCCCATCTGCGAGCGGGGTGTGGGTGAAGGTGGCCATCGTGGGCCCTGTTGCTTGCCCAGGAGGCAGGGTGGGCATTCCCTGGGCCATGCCCCGACAAGTAAGTGGAGAGTCCTTGACCCTGGCTGGGTGTTTCGCCCTAGGCCCCCCAGGAAAACCCTTCCGCTCGACCTCACCTGCGTCTCTGTCACAGTCAGGAGCTGCCCAAGCAGGAACAGGGTCAGCAAGGGGATACCGGCCATGGCTGTGTCCTGTCCCAGCTCTCTTGGCTCTGAGTGGACTCGCTGCACTGCCGGCAGAAGCCCAGCAGGCAGGAGGGGCGGGCAGGATGCTGGAACACACTCCCCCCACTGCCCTTGTACAAGCCCCCCATTCAGCCAGGCCCACCTGGGGCTGGGCGGGACTCAGTTGCCCCTCCCCGACGCCAGCCAGGGGGAAGAAAAGAGGCCAGCAGCATTTTTTTGGCCAGCCTGAGTTAAAATTATCCTGGGACTGGTGATCTGCACACAGACACCTTTCAGCAAAAAAGAAAGGCTGCTTTCTCACTGCACCTCAAGTGTGGGGCAGGGCAGAGCAGAGCCCCACATGGACGGCTGCTCCCCAGACTGTGGAGGGGTCCCCGCCCCAGCCATGAGGGTTAGAAGTCACATACCTCTCCCAGAAAGAGGGTACCCTGAGAAAAGGGAAGACCCCAAGAGTGGGTGGTTAGCCTGTTCTAAGAGGCCAGACAGCCCAGTATTGCCCTACTGGCGGTCAAAGCCATGTCTGCTGGGCCAGGCACCCCCAAGCACCACCCTCACAAACCCCGAGGACCCTGAGGGAAGAGTCTAACTGTACTGGCCACTGCTGGTAAAGTCCAGCCTTATCACAGACCCCTTCTCCTGGGAGACACAGACAGTGGCCATGGCAAGAGGAAAGGTTGTCAACATGACCCAGGGTCTGTGAGGACATTCCCAATGAGCTCTGGACATCTCAGGGGTCACCACGGCTGCATAGCTCTACCCAGCTTGAGAAGGCAGAGGAGCAGCAGCGGTGGTCAGGTGCCCCCAGTGATGACCTGGTGGGGGCTCTCAAAACACCTAAGTGGCCCACAGGGTCTGTTCAATGTCTAGAATCACAGCCCCACCTCCAGGCCTCCAGAGAGGCTGCTAAAAGATTGGCAGGATACAGTGTGAACTCTGTTACTGCAGGTGGGAACTCCTGATGTTAGAGGATGGATGATGAAGACTGTGAAGGCAAGGAACTCAGTCTAGAATGTTGTGTTGCTCAGTGTTAACTGCTCCCCAACTGGAGAAACTTACCACTTCCCCATTGGGTAGGTAACTGGTGACCACCGGTTGGTGACCACACCTTCAGGCAGGAGAGGTGGTGTGAATGGTATCAGGAGAGAAAACCCTTAAAATGTCCTGTCCACTATTGTGCTCGAGTCATTCTGGGGCGTATCTCCAAAGACACGTCTTATGACCTGAATGAGGTAGACAGGTCAGCTGCCTTGGCAGTTCAGCCAGTCAGATGTTTCGAGGACCAGGCCATCCCCAAATCTGGAGATGGTTCTTCTACTCCCCCCAGGTGAAGTGAGAGGTTGAGGTATATCCTTGTCTCTACTGGTCTCACCCTTCTAGGCCTGGACCCAAACACAACTCTGATCCCTCTGCCATGTCCACCACCCAGCTGGCCACTATGTGAGGGTCTTGATGACCAGTCAGGGGACACTCAGCTGGCCTGTGTCCAGCTCTCTCCCTCTCTCCTCTCTCAGCTCCATACCTCTTTGCAGACTGAACCCCACCTGATTAACCAGGCTGTGAGGAAGACCAGACACAGGGTCGGGCAGGAGGGCACTGAAGCGCATAGCTTCTCCCCGCTTTTGATGGGGTGAAGGGCACACATGGTTCACTTGCTTGAGGGGACAGGGACAAGGTGGGCTGGAGCTCACATCCGTCCCTGCACACCCACCAGCAAGCTGTCCCCCAAGGATTGCTTCTACAGGATCCACTGAGGATTGGTGATTCCCCTTCTAAGTGGGAACCCCGGTTCTATGAGGTCAGCAGGCACCGAGCCAGCCCTCACCTGATGCCCCACCCCTCAAGTACAGAAACATCACTTGGTCAAACTCCAAGTCAGGGCCAGCGGCCCACTGCTCTAGAGGTGGGGGAGGGAGAGAGTGAAGGTGCAGACCCCTCAAACCCACTAGAGGGACAGAACTCAGGGACTGGTCATCCTTCCCCACCCCAATCCCCCAAAACAAACAAGCAGCACTGGCACTTTGCACAAGTAGAGAAGTGAGTTTTCTGAAGGAACTAACGCACAGCCACTGGCCTCACAGTGACCTGGGTTTCCAGGGCTGTTGCTGACGGAAGTCTGGTGGCCGAGGCCAGCAGGAGTTGTGTTACCAACCCTGATGCCAGGGCTTTTAGGAGAAAACAGGCAGTCTCCTCCCACGCAGTTACCAGAGTCACATGTCGGCTTCCATTCTCCGTAACAAGCCTGTGAGAGCCGCAGGTGCAGAATGCATCCTGTCTGCCTTGGAGGGGGCTGGTGGGTTCAAACCGCTCACCCTTCAGTTAGTATCTGAGTGCTTTAACCACTGTTCCACCAGGGCTCCAGAGCAAACTGTATACCCCAAAACCCAATGGGACCTGACCTGTAGTGAACCAATACACTCCAAGACAAGAGTGAAGGCAAGGGCTCGGATGCTGAGTCCCTGTTCTAGTCAGAAAGGGACAGCTAACTCCCATCCCATGTAGGACAAACAGGCTGAGAGCCACTGAGCCTTCAGGAAAATCTCCACTGGTCAGATGGAACCTGGGTCCAGAGAACAGCGCTGAGCAGATCACCACCCCTAAGCAGATCAGACCATGGTCTGGGCACCCTCAAATGCCTGCCCGTCAGCACACAGGAGGGGCTTGCACAAGATCCGGGCTCACTCTTAAATGGGCACTGAAACTCCACTATTTGTGGAGTCCCTGGGAACCCAGGGATCCCCCCTCAGGTGGCTGGCCCGTCGCGGGAGGCTGGGGTGTGCTGGGGGTGGGGTTGACTGCAGAATGTGCAAGTTTCCCCTTAAACTCCACGAACCAGATGCTCTTATTTCACACGACTAGAGAGAACTGGGAGCATCCGTCCAAGTCATGTGCTGGGGATGGGGTGCTCAGAACTAATTTCTAGGGGCCGGGGATGGAGGGTGCCAAGCGCTGGGGGTCACAAGCTCAAGGTGTACCAGGCCCTGCAGACAGGCAAGGCTCCCTGAAACGCACAGATGGAGGCAAGTCCAGAGGCCACGCCCTTCACTAACTCAGGCCCACCGAGAGGGCCCTGCTCACTCTCCGACTCAAAGTCAACGGAGTTTATTCAGAAGAGGCCCTGGCAGCACACGAGGAAGACTCTCTCAGACCCACTTACAAAGAGGGACTGGGGCAGAGCGGACAGCGGACACGGGCAAGGAAGATTCTCTAGGCTGCCCTCGACCTCAATGAGGGGTGAAGTCTCAGTCCTCCCTGGGTGGGCGGCAGTGACCCCCAGGGAGAGGGGAGCACTGCTGGGCACTGCGGGGGGGGGAGCCCTGAGGAAGGACAACTGGCCTCACATGTCCCCAGGCACACCAACAGCCAGGTGGCTGCAGGCACGGCTCCCGACCCTTGCTCTATGGCTCTGTGGGTGTGGCTGTGGACACCTCTTCATGGAGGGGGGCCAGGGCCTGACTGGGGCCCTCAGCAGGGCTCCTGTCAACAGTTCCCTCCTCTGCCGTCAGGCTTCCAGCCTCGTTGAGCGCACCCTCACCCCCTCCACTCTCATCCCCCACATTCTCTGGTGCTCTGGACGCAGCAGAGGTGCAGGCAGGGGCTGGTGTTGGGGTCTCACTGCTGCCCACTGTGCCCTCGTCCACCTTCCGCCGCTTCCTGACCTCGTCAGCCACCTTAGCACCCGTGGGCTGGGTGCAGGGCTGCTCTTCTTCCTCGAGGTCCTGGGTCCCTGCATCCTGGGCACTGGTCCCGAGACTGCCCTGGCTGAGGGCGCACCCCTCCAGGTTCAGAGCTATCCTCTCCACCTCTGAGGGGCTCTGTGGGCCTGGGTCGCCCCGGTTCACCTCCAGCTTCCTCTTCTTGCTTTCTATGGGGCTGGTGGGCGCAGGCTCCTGCTCCCCACAAGGCCTCACTTCAACACCCACACTGTCGAGTTCTCTCTTGGGAGATTCTGACTCCTGGGGCACACCGTCCCCGCCCGGTCCACCTGGTCGGCTGGGCTGACCCTGGGCAGCCTTGTCATGGAGGCTCTCCAGGCCGTTGTCTCCTGGCTGGTGGGGCAGCAGCCGCTGCAGCTTGTCGTGGGGCGCCCAGACGAACTTGCTCCGCGGCCGGAAGTGCTCCCAGGCGAAGCGCAGCAGCGCGCGGCGTTGGCGGCGACAGCGCACGGCGAACACGAAGTAGTCCAGTGCGCTCTGCCGCACCCCCTGGAGCTGCCGCCGCACCAGCGTCTCCTCCAGGAAGAAGTGCGCCAGCGGCGCCTGGTACTGCTCCAGGCCCAGCTCGCCCAGCGACTTGAGGATGCGTGTGATGCGGAGGTTGTTGTGGCTGTGCCTGGGAGAGCGAGCAGGGGATCCATGGAGGGGCTGCCAGGCCGCGCCACCCACACCTGCAGGCGCTGACCCCACCGGCTCCTGCCTGGGGAGCTCCCACATAGCTCATGAACGACCCCACCGATTCCTGCCTGGGGTCTGCATGGCAGTTCCCACACGTCTCATGAATGACTCTAAGCCAGGCACATCACAGGGATGCTCCTGGAAGGTCACAGTGAAACTGGGCACGCGAGGCCTATGGTGGGAGACCTGGGCCCTGAGAGACAAGCAGTGCTGAGAGCTCAATTTCCTCAAGCCCCTCACCTGCTAGCAGGGAGCTTCACCTGCCCAAGCATCAGGTCTCCAGTGGGAAATGCTTCCCCACACTGCCCAAAGCCACCCCCATGGGGGCACGTGCAGGAGCCCTGCCTCACCAGTTCAGGTTCTGGAAGCGTCTCTGGTAGTTGTGTGCTCGGCGCACAGCGCCTGTGTCCCGGTTTTGCAGCTCCACCCCATAGAAGCCCAGCATGAGCTCGTAGGCCTGGACAAACCGCTCCATGACCTCCGGACAGCTCTTAAAGGCCTGGAAACCCGGGGACATTCAGAAGTGACACAGCCGCAGGGGGGTATGGGACCAGGGGTAGATGGATATGGACACACACACATACACATGCACTGCCCACTCTAGTCCCAGCATCCCACAGCTCAGACCAGGGGACAGGAGGGGGAGCTCTACCACAGGTTCTGCTCAGAACTTCCCATGGGGGTGCAGGGCAGGGACAGCTCACCTCAACTTCCCTCAGTGTGAGGGGCTTGGCGTGCCAGTTCACTCCGGGCTCTCGCAGAGGGAACAGCCTGCAGGGACAGGCAGCTGGGTGACAGGGGTGGAGGCAGACACCGCCACGCCCAGCACCGGGAAAAGCCAGCAGGCCATGGGCCTACAATGCCCCCCACCCTGACCCACGGGGCTCACCACTGGATGTAGGAGTGGTTATCCTCCAGGAGCTGGTAGTCTTCCCTCCAATCCTGGAGAATCTCCTCGATGAAGCAGCCTGAGAGCGCAGAGACATCAGGCCCTGCCCACAGCTGCTGCCTGCCCACCCAGGTCCCTGGAGCCTGGCCACAGACCTTCCTAGCAGGGTGAGGGGGACCTTGGGCAAGTGGGCACCAACTCACTTTTCAGCACAATTGCCCACCCCCATCGATCCTCACAGCCGAGGCGAGGGTCCCTTATGTCCCCCCCTCTTAGTCTCAGTCAAGATGGAAGATCCTCTATGCACTTCATCTTATCCTCCTCACAGACCAGGCGAGGGCCCATGTGCACCCCCATCCTATTCTCCCAGTTGAGGTGGGGGTCACCTGTGCAAGCCCATCCCATCCTCATAGAAAAGGTAGGGTGGTCCCCCTGTAGACCCCCATCCTATTATCTCAGACAAGGTGGGGGAACTCCCCTGTGCATCCCCATCCTATTTTCAGACAAGGCTGGGAGCACCTGTACACTCCTAGGCCCAATCTGTGTCTGTCAGCTCTCCCACTGGTCACTGGTCCAGGGTGGAGCTGGCACCCGCTTCCGCAGGACCAGCTGGTCAGGTCTGCTGGCTTTGCAGGCACTGGTCCCTGCAGCTGGTGCCCAGGAGGGAGATGCTGCCTTCCGCAAGCATCATCACACTCTCAGCTTCCTCCTAGAGCCACAGACACCGTCCTAGCTTGGGTTAGGCGTGGCAATTCTGCTGTTCCACAGGCAGCGCTCACCCCCTTCACAAGTGCCCTCTCGTCATCTACCTCTGACCAGGCTGGTCACCCAAAGGCTGGCAATTCAAGTCTGCCAAGAAGTGCATTGGCAGACAAGCCTGGCCATCTCTTTCCTAGAGGTCTCCCTGAAAACCCCAGATCTCACTCCTAGCCTGACACATAAGACGTGGCCACAGCTGGTGGACTGACTCTCCTTCCTTCTCCTGCCAGGCTTTCTACGCCTGGAGGGCTGGGAGCAGGGCTGTTGCCCCTGCCTGCTGAGGGAGACCTCATCCAGTGGTGGGAGTGGGGGATGAGCAACATGGAGTCCCAGACGCCCCATCGGCACCGGGCACAGCTGAGCACGCACCATTCGGCAGGAAGCGGATCTCATTCTTGTAGAAGCTCAGGTTGGGCATATCCCCATTGCAGTCTGGCTCCACCAGGTCCTGTGGAATCAGACAGCAGTGAAAGGAAGGAGCACTACTCTTGGTCACTAGGAGGAGGCCACCTTGGCCAGCCTTGGTGAGCAAGAGGCTGTGGTCCAGAGGGTGCAGAGGGCTGACACTCCCCTTACAGATTAGGGGACAAGGGGACCACTTAAGGAGCCGGCTGTGAGCAGAGCATGCAGGGTGAGGGTATGGGTCCCCTGTGCATCCTATCTTCACAGACAGGGTGGAGTGCTCCCTTGTGTGCCACACCATTCTCTGTGGCCATGGCCACCCTGTCCTGGTGACGCTATCCATCTGCACACCCGGTGGGAGGCCTCTGATGACCTGCAGGGGCCTGGGGGGTACCAGTGACTATGGTGGCCAGGAGGGCCCTCTCTACCGGGCAGGACTTGGGACAGAGTGCAGGGACTGCCTCGACCTACTGGGGCAGTGGGCGGGGGAAGAACGTACCGGGTAGTGGTGCCGGTATCTGCACATGTCCTGCATAGCCCGCCAGTTCCGAGACACCAGCACCCTGGCCTAGGGGAGATGAGATGGTTGAGACCCTGGTGGGGACCCACACTCCTGGAGGAAAGTTAACTCTTGTCTCACCTCAAAGTGAGTGGTCAAGGGGGTGAGGGCGGGAACCAGCAGGATCCAGGCAATAAGCACCCCAGGAGAAGTTGAGAGTGGGGAGAAAGGACACCTTTTGTATTAGGGTCCTCCTGCCCAACATCTACCTTAGAGCGCCTGATGCCTGACTTTTATACCAGGGGCCTTGTTGCCTGACTTCTAGACTGTGTCCCTGTCCAGTTTCTACACCAGGAACCCAGCTGTCCAACTTTATTTGAACTTCTACCCCAGGGGACCCCATGCCTGACTTCTACACCAGGAGCCCCGCCGCCTGACTTCTACACCTGGAGCCCTGCCGCCTGACTCCTGCACCACAACCCTGCTGCCTGACTTCTACACCAAGTGCCTCACCACCCAACTTCTGCACCAGGTTGCTTGGTGAGCCCCATTGCCTGACTTCCACACTGGGTCGTTTGTCAAGGCTACTTGTCCAGCTGAGGGCCCATGATGGAAACCTGGACTTGGCAGAAGCTGACCACCCCTGCCCCAAGCTGGTCTCCCCTCTTCTGCACAGGAGCGTCACCGATCAGTCCTGAATCCTGGGTTCTCACAGGATGCTGGCTGTACTCCTGCACAGAGCAGGGCAGCCCCTCCTCCAGGACAGGGCTTTGGGCTTCATGGGGGACATATGTGGTCAGAAACAGCTGGGCACTTCACTCACGCTCAGGTGATTCTAGAGGGTGGTGATGACAGTCACCTCACCTGAACAAAGCAGAAGGGCTGGGCCGGCTTCCCCCAGTGCCCTCAACCTTGCCCACTCCCAGCACAGACAGTGTTCAGGGGTCAGGAGGTGGATGGTGGCCACTAGGGAGGCCCATGGACCCCCCACATTCTCGGTCCCCCTCACTGACAGCTCGAACACATCAGCTGAGGAGCAGCGTGCTGGGTAACGAGAAAACTCGCCCCAGAGAGCATGTGCCTGGATTCAAAGCACTGTGGCAGGGCAGGACACCCACTCAGACATGACTCAGCATGGTGAGGCCACTATCCAGGTCTCTCACACCTGCAATGATGGCATCATGTCATCACAACAGCACCCCGAACTGAGGGGTCACCATGCCAAGGCGCCGGGTGAAAATGTGCAGCAGCGTGGAGTAACGATGCTGAATGACGGAGAGTAACACCGAGAAGGGGAGGGACTGTCACTCTGAGCCAGGGCACTGAGGTTCAGACACTGGGGGGGACAATGCAGAACCAATGGGCGCAACACTCCAGGAGACCAGGTGCAACAATGTTGTATAAAGTGGAGTAACCCATGAATACCTGGGAAATAAAACCACCAGAGAACCGATGGTAATAACAAGGAGTAACATGGCTAACAGAGCCAGGGAGTCAACGGTAACCATGGCCTGTAATACAAGGCAACAACACAACTGGAACTAACCCGGTCACAACAATACACACGAACAGCCCCAAGCATCACGTGCCTGGGGAGAAGGAGTAAACTGGGGTTACAGTGTGCCTCCGTGAAAAAACTGAGGAGTTAACTGAGGACGTGAAGTAACCAGCACACCAGCACCATGTAAATGGAGTTAACAACGGAGTAATAAGGGTAAGTACTGCGTGTGCCCAAGAGCAATGACCTGCAGTAACACAGGGTAACAAAGCAGACTAACGGGACAGCAGCTCCGGGGCAGAAGTGAATGAAGAGGAAACAGGGAGCAGCCCACCCTGGTCCCACACATCAATGGGGCTCACAGTACACCCTGTCAACTGGCTGGAAGAAACAGTGGGGGCAGGCTAGGGCTTGAGGGCCCACATAGGGGCCAATGGGGTGCAAGGCTCCTGGTGGTGAGAAGAGGCCGAGGGAGGAAGCAGAGGCCAGGGCAGTGGACGGGGTCAGCATGCGAGGCTGGGACCTCTCTGGGGGACAGAGGTGAGTGTGCCAGGAGGGGTTTCACACTGGGTTTCCAGCAGAGGAGGCTATGGACAGAGGGCAAACAGTGACCATGACAGAGTCTACCTGTGGGCTTCCTGGCCTAGGACCAGCACCTGACCTAAGGGGGTCCTGTCCAGCCTGCTGTTCCCTATTTCCACCTGCTTAGCACTGAGCCCCGGGGTTGGGGGGGGGGGCTGGAGCCAAGGCAGCCCCCGCTGAGGTGAAAAGGGACAAGCTGAGGCGGAGGCAGGGCGCTGAGGGCCTGAGGGAGGGAGGATGTGGGGTGGGCACAGAGGTCCTGGCTGGGAGCAGTGAGTGTGGGGGTAGATTGGTGGGGAATGAGCCGTAGGGGCGGGGCCGAGGAACAAGGCTGTGCACGGGGTGGGCTGGAGGCTGGAAATGTGTGTGGAGGGGAGGAGGGGGCAGGAAGTTGAAGGAGAGGCAGGGGTGGACTTGGGGGCAGTGGGGGTG